TACTAATGTGTTTTTTGATTCTAGGAGTAGGAGTAGGTCTGCTATAAAGATAAGGAAGAGGATTAGGGAGAGTGTTAATCCTTAGGGGATTCCCTTTTTAGTTAGCATTAGGTCTGATTTGAATTTGCCTAGAATAAGCTATATTGATCTTTCCTATAGGAAGGACTAGATAAATTGGACTATCTAGTTTAGTATAGCTTTCTATTTAAGTATATATAGGAGCCTTTTATAGGAGACATTGTTAAAGGCTCCTAAGATATTAAGGGAGAGGAGGGTTGCTACCTAGTTTTAACTATAGTGCTAGATATACTTAATCTGTTCTATAATTAGTTTTATAGCTATTAGTGTTAACCTCTTCTTTCTTCCTCCTATTTAGCCTTTAGGAAGGATGTTCCTTTCCTCGGTAAAGGTTATTAGCCTTTTAGCGACAATTTTTTCTAGTACCTTGCCTATTGTATTAAGTAGGGCTATTAGTCTATAGGCCTTGAGCTATGTATAGTCTTCCTTCTAAGGCTTCTTTAGCACTACTATTAGGGACTTCCTAAATAGTCTTAGGTAGTGTCCTAGTACTAGGCTTTATAAAAAGATATTAGCTAGTGCTAGGGCTAGCCCCTTCCTATATGCTTTTAGAAGTTTGTTATAGATCTTGTCTTCTCCTAGTGCCTTATTGCCTGGAATTTTCTTTAGGATCCTTTTAATAGTTTCGGGTTTGACCTAGGTGTCTCTTAGTATGCCTAGTAGTAGAGTCTCTTGTTCTATCTCCTTTATATCTAATAGGTCTGCTTATACTTTTCTATAGAAGAAGTGTTAGCCTAGGGCTCTTACTTTCCCTTCTATTATAGTCTGCATTTGTCCTTATTAGTCTATAATGTCCGGGAATTATAGTAGTATATCCTTATCCTATTTAGGTCTCCTTGCCTATTTAGCTATCCTCTATATCTCCTCTAGTTTCTTTATAATCATTCCTATTATAGATCTCTATTCTTGTATCTTGTCTTTCTTAATCTAGATCTTCTTTTCCTAGCAGGCTTTATTATAGTTGTCCTATACTTCCTAGGTATAGGTTTATGTCTACTGCCTCCTAGCCTTCCTTGCTACTTTAACCTTCCTTATATACTTACTAGTCTAGTATAGTTGCTAGTATAGTAAATGTTTCTTTGCTAGGGTATGCTTTCTAGCTACCTGTTTTAGGATCCCTATTAGTTCTTCTACTACTTTATTAATATCCTCTAGCCTTAGTAAGTACTTTATTAAGAGTTCCTCTAGTTTTAGGTCCCTTTCTAGTTCCTCCCTAATCTTGCCTTATTAGGCACCTTTCTAGTTAAGCTTCTCTTCTAGTTCCCTTTCCTAATTAGCTTAGACATTTAGCTTAATCTATACCGGGAAGTGGTCTAATAATTCTTCTAGCTCCTAGTTGATCCTATATCTTATAATCCTATTCCTAATCTAATATAATATAAAGTATAGGTCTAGTATGCTGCTGCTTCCTCTTGCCTCCTAAGTAATTAGTCCCTTTAGGGTAACAATTTCTATTTCTTCCCTCTCTAATATATTAATTAGTCTTCCTACTAGGAAGTAGTAAGCTAGGGTAAAGTCTAAGCCCTAGAGGGGATAGTAGAGGTTGAAATCCCTAAGTAGGATTTAGTAGGTGTTCCCCTAGATAACTCTAGGTAGTCTTTCTAGGGTTTTTAGTTAGGTACTACTTCTTGAGTCTAGTAGTAGGTTATATATATAGTAGACTTAGAGTATACCTTAGGATGTCTCTACTTAAACTAATATTAGGTCCCTATCCTCCTATAGTATAGCCTACTAGGTTTCTGTATCTATCTCCTTGCTAATATAGATGTATGTCCTTAGGGCTCCCTAGTTATAGATAATTAGGTAGTATCTTAGGTCTTTAACTATTGCTAGTCTCTTTATATATAGGTTGAGCTAGGGCTCTTAGATTGCAATAATATAATGTTCTTTTAGGTTTAGTGCTTAAAGGAAGCTCCTCTGTACCTTGTCTTTACTCTTATTGATATTGTACTATATAATGTTTAGTAATGTTGCAATGTTTATTGTGTTTTATCTATATTATTTCCCTATAAGTTTTCCCTTAGTCTTCCCTTACTTTAGACTAATATTTAACTAAGCTTTGTCTGCCCTACTTCCTTTCCTACAATATTAAGGTATCTTAGTCTCCCTAGTTGTTAGTGACTCTCTTATACTAGTAAGGCCCTAAATGTAAACCTATTATCTTATCTAGACCTCTTTTATAGTACTTAGCTAGGTTGCTTCTATACCTAGCTGCCCTAGCTTGTTGTATATCTTTTTAGTATATTGATTCTAGCTTCCTTTGCCTTCCTAGCTGCCTATATTCTTACTAGGCATTCCTTCGCCTAAGAGGGGTGTCTTTTAGTATAGTATATACATCTTGCTTCTCCCTTATATGCTTTATATTCTTTGACCTAGTAATCCCCTATACAATAGGAGTAGGTATTGGTTGTCTTTATATACTTAGCTACTAAGTGTCTATAGTGTTGATATTTAAAGTACTGCATTATCCTATAGTTGCTTCTATATATCTCTGTTTCTAATCTTTCAAAGTCCTAGAACAACCCCTAGTCTAGTACGTGCTGTACTATATTAGCTTGCTTTGCACTCTCTACCTAGATAATTAGGGAAGACTGCTTCTTAGTCTCTTCGATTTTCCTTTTAATCTATGCTACTTTTATAATCTTTAGGCCTAGGTATATAGCTTAGTTTTGTCTCTATAGGCTCTTAATATCCTATTCTTCCCTAAAGCTTCTTATTATACTATAGGCTATAATTATAAATTGCTATTAGGAGACCTTTACTGTTTTCCCTATCTTGGTTGTCTATTCTTTTTGTGTTTCTAGCTTCTTTTTGTCCTGCTCTTATACTATAAATAGCTTGATTACCCCTTTTCCTTCGTTCCTAGCCCTAATTACCTCTTTAACTGCAATTCTTTCTATAATCTCTTTCCCTATAAGTCCTTAGATTTCCTTTTGCTCCTATAGGTCCGTAATATAGACTCTAACTACTATCCTCGGGGGTTTTAGCGCCTCCTAACTAGCTACTACTGCCTAGGTACGGTAGTTTAGGCTTATCTCCTATTGTTTCTTCGTAATCTTTGCTACGACTGTATTAGCTACCTTTATAATTACGTAGCTTGCTTAGTTGTAGATTGCTTTTAGTCCTCTAAGGAGTTCTAAGATTATTATCCTATATACCCTCTTAGGGGTTCTTCTATCTTCCGCCTTTAGTACCTCCTCTGCCCTAGTATATAGTGCTTTCTATTCGTCCTCCCTTCCTTCTTAACTATCTTCCCTTCGTCTCTAATTGTTCGCTACTATTCTCGAGCAATTTCTCTTTGAATATCCACGTTTATATATACTCCTTAGTATATATATTAGAAAAAAAATTACCCTTTTCCTAAAAAGTAAAAAAAAGGTCGAATATTTCGAAAAACACTTAACCTAATACCTTGAATTGTGCTATTATTATAGCGAGGTCCAAAGTATTAATTAGTCTGCCGCCGGAGGATTACAACGCTACATAATAAGTAGCCGGACACCCCTGCTCCCGAAAATTTCGAGCCCTCAATAAAGCGTACAAGTACACTCGTTAAACAGCAAACGAATTCAAATGATTGGATGCCGGGTCCGGATTTAAGTTCGTATATAGAGTGTACACTGTACCTAGGAAATCCGGGGTAGCCTAGGTTGGGGAGGTACTTACCGCCGGCTTTTTTTAAGCAACGCCAAGCCGAAAATTTTCGAACGTGGATAACCATTAACCTCTGCGCTGCCACTCTTGGAACGCGCCCGCGGTCCACAACACTTCCTAGTATAGCTGGTGCAAGCAGGAAATAATAATCTGGGCGGCTGAAATTGCGACAAGCGCTCAACGCCAACAAATCTGGTTCGCTGCCCGTTTCGCGTGCCTGGAGCGCGCGAGAGGGAGCGGGAGCAGTGTTGCGGCCATGGCAGGCTGATTGCGGCGACGAGGGATCAGGGTGTCATGTCACCACCAAAGGCATGCTTGTTCTCAGGGCAGGGACCATGGCACGGCACGCCTCCCGCCTGGCGATCTGCAGGAATACATCATTGTCGAGCTCCTTCTGTGGTAAGATATCAACAAACAGAACGGGCTTTCAGGAGTCACTCCGCCCGTGCGCGTGTGCAGAGCAGAAAGTACATTTGGAGACAGTCCTGACATATTCTTCGACGGAGCAATTTCAACATTCGATTGTGCTGCTCTCAGACAGATGCGAGCCGAGTGATCCAGGGTCCAGCCTTGGCAGACACCCCGTGAGCGCGCGTGGCTAGCGCTGCCGAGTCCCGCGCTCGCACTCCTCCAACAGAGCACAACAAATCCAGAGCTGGCAGAGCACCTCTCGCGGCGCGTTGGCAGTCACGTCGCATCGACCCTGATCTCCATCGTCACGCCCACCACCCTCCTTCCCGCCCGACATTGCTGTACATACATGACAATAACATATCCCCAATCGCCCTCCCCCGCCGACGCGGCGTCACGGCACTGAGACGTAAACACGCCCACGCAACGTCGCCGGATGAGACGCGTGTTTGCATTCCAGTCATACCTAACAACACCGCCGCGCCGCCCCGCCACCGAAGCGACAACACCGACATCATTACGCTGCCGCACTGCGCGCATCCACATGAACCGACTCCGATAGCTGCACCCCGTTCTGCCGACTCCAGACGACAGCGCAGTCCCCAGCGAACGACCGCCACACGCGCGCGCCAACCACCCCTCCACCCAGCGACCCAATCTGGCTGCCTGTGAAACATTGCGAGGCATCAACTCGGCACACTGGCCCCAACAGCCACCAGTGCGAGGAGAGAAGCGTCTGTATCAGTAGACCACTCCGCCGCGCGACTGCGACTGCGCACACGGGACGGCTCGCCGCGAATCTGACCCGCGACACACTCAGCCGTTCAGCGCACCGCCAGCACCCAGCCGCCTCAGCAATGGAGTTGGAGTACTCGCCGCGACACTCGCCAGGCGGCACCATGCACATGCTGTCGCCCACTCATCCCCACGACGGCTTCACCACCATCCGGCAGATCCGCCGCTCACTATCGCGATCTCCCTCGAAGCCATCGCGATTTGCTCTGCTCACCACCAAAGGAACCACATCCCCAAATGCTCCCATGTCTCCAGCGCCGCGATCACCCTCGGGACTGAGTCGCGCATTCAGCCTTGACTCCACCCAAGCAAACGCCGGCAGCAAGACAACGTCCTCGCGTACCAGCGTGGTGCGAACAAGATCGCGCAGGACTTCTCCCAACAGCCCGCTCAGGCGCGCATTGAGCGACAACTCCAATTCAGCCAACACAATTCCTCGATACGCGACGCGCAGAAGTTCGACGGAGCATGACCAGGAGAATATGGATTGCTCCGAGGACTCCGTGAAGCCAGCTTCAGAATTGCGCTACGACAATCCCATCAAGATCGACTTTGGCAAGCCAGGCCCAGAAAAGCTGCTGCAGCCTGTCATGCGAGAGCACGCATCGCCAATGAAGTCGAGCCCGCTGAAGCGCAGTGATGGAGTCATGAATCTGGAAGCCGCAAGCCTAGGAAGCCCACGGAGTAGCAAGCGTCGCAGCTTACACGCCGCATCCAGTGTGGAGTTCAACATCTTTGAGCAGAGCTTCGACGGCGCCAGCAACGACTCTCCGCAATCGACCGACGAGCAGGACAGAGATGGTCCAGTGCCTACCTTCAACAACTGGGCTGCACCACCTCCCAGCTCACCACATCGACGTCCGTTCAGCTTGCGCAAATCGACACTTTCCCAGCGCGCCGGACCCGGTCGCAAGAACTTGTTCGCCGACTCAATGCGCGACTCGGTGATGAGTCCATCCCTGAATCGCGCAAGGTCGAGAATCTCGCTCGATGGCGCTTTGCCACTCCGCAGTCCTGATATGGATTCGCCTTTTCGCAGAGGCAATGCCAGTGACCCGCCTGTTCTGTTCCCGCCGCCTGGACAGAAACTGTACCAGTCAGCTCCAAAGCCGCACCCACTGTCTCACGCACTGACGCCTTCATCCTCCACGTCAAGCGTTGCCGAAGACAATACCACACCGCAACCTGAGCAGCAACAGCCCGCTACTACCGCTCCTGTTCACGAGGCATCAGCACAGCCAAAGGTAGTCGTGTCCAAACCTCCCGTTCCTGGATTCTCCAAGTCCCTACCACTGGGAGCGATGCGACCGGCTGCGATCGCTGCTGCAAATGGCGAATCTCATGCGACACCGGCTGCGTACAAGATGGCGAAGCCGCTACCGCAAGCATTCATGTCAACAGGCTTGATCTCGAAGCGCCACCGCAATATAGATGAGCCGCCTGCAGGCCTGTTCTCAAGCACGCACATGCCGGATACGCCCTCGAAGAAAGCACCACAGATCCACTTTGGTGCCAGTCCAGCTCCCTCGGCACTAGGAAAGCTTGCACGACCCATGCACGAATTTGGAAGTCCAACTACGCCGTTCAATGGTCGAGTGTCCAACGTCTCACCAGAGGCTTTCGGAAAAGGTGTCAATATCTTCGGTTCCAGGACGAATCAGCCTCAACTGACCAGGAGAAGCTCGTTCCTCAGCATCAATGGAGACGATGTCGACAATTCTCCTACACACCGCCTGGACAACCAACACCATCTTGACAACCAAGCACTCGCCGACGATTTGCCACCGACACCAACAAAGTCTACATCGTCCACCACTCGACCACAGTCCAAGGGCAAGAGTAATAGTCTGCGCAGCAGTCTGTTCGGGAGGAGGACATCACTGGGTCCGGACACGTTCGCCTCACCTGCTGAGCGTGAACATTCGCCGACCGCAGATGACGACGAATGTAAGTATCAATTTGCTGAGTCCACGCCCTGTTTTCGGCGCGAGAAGAGCTCGGACTGTGTCGTCGTCGATGACTCGCCCATGCCATTCATCACACTGACGACCAGTACGACTCCTTCGCCGCGTCTGTTTCGGAGCCAGTCGGAGTACCACCCTCCAAGACTGGCTTCTCCCTCACCACTTGCAAAGCGATCGCTGCGTTCTTTCCCGCTGTTGGATGCTTCCGAAAGCACTCTCACTAAACTTTCCTTCTTCTCAGCCCCAAGCCCGTCCAAGGCGATCCCAATCGTTGGCGACAAGACATCTCCCCACACTCCAGTGGAGTCGTTCACTCCTCCAGACCCGAGCAGTCTGTCCATCTCCGTCGATCATCGCCCGTCTGTGCCGGTAAACAGCTCTAGCTTCCCTCCGGCAACGCCAACAGGTCCTCGGGGAGATTCTTTTGGTGTCAGCCTTGGCCAAAGCCTCGCACAATCAGGCTACTTCCAAAACGAAGTGGATACATCGCTCAACACACGCTTCGCTCACATCGCATCCGTCGGCACTGGAGAGTTCTCGCAGGTCTACAAGGTCTCCAAGCCACTGGGTGCCAGCAACTCCACGAATCACAAGCGCAGCCCTGGAAGCGAAGTCTGGGCAGTCAAGAAGTCCAGGAAGCCATACACTGGCGTCAAGGACCGCCAGCGTAAGATGCGAGAAGTAGAGATCCTCAGGTCTCTACGAGGCCATGAGCACATCGTTGAACTCGTCGGTGAATGGGAGTCTAAGAATCACCTGTACATCCAGACAGAATACTGCGAGAACGGCAATCTGAAGGACTTTTTGCTGCAAGCTGGATTCAAGGGCCGACTGGACGATTTCCGCATCTGGAAGATCTTGTTGGAGCTGTCGCAAGGCGTCAAGGCCATTCACGACGCACACTTCATACATCTTGACTTGAAGCCTGCCAATGTCTTCATCGACTGGGAGGGTCTTCTCAAGATTGGCGACTTTGGCATGGCGAGCTCCTGGCCAGCACCTGCCGGTCTTGATGGAGAAGGTGACCGAGAGTACATTGGCCCCGAAGTTCTGTCTGGTCGCTTCGACAGACCGGCCGACATTTTCGCACTCGGTATGATCATGTTAGAGATTGCCGGCAACATCGTGCTCCCTGACAATGGTGCATCATGGCAACGACTTCGTGCTGGTGACCTCAGCGACTTGCCAAGTCTCACGTGGAGCACTGACAGCAGCTTGCCACGCGACGAGTCTGGTGATCCAGTGGAGATGCTCAATGGGCAGTCGAACGAATCACTGTGCACCTCACACCAGGGTGATGACGATCTTTCCTTCCTTCGACCATCTGTGCCCAAGCATCAGCGCAGCCAGGAACTCGGCCAAGCACCGAACTTCATGGTCGACCCAACAGATTCCGAAGCCCTCGATACAGTAGTCCAGTGGATGATTAGCCCAGACCCAGATTTGCGACCGTCTGTGGACCAGCTTTTGGTGACACATGGTGTTCAATGGGTCGAAACTCGGCGTCGTGCTGGAGCCACGGTGTACGAAGGGGCTTGGGGGCCGGCTGAAGACGTGCTCAATCATGGCGAGCAGGATGATGTGGAAATGCTGGACATTTAAGCGTGTGAAGCATGGCATTGTTGTCCCACCGCATTCATAACCCCTTACTCGTTTGAGTGGCGGTTGAGACCCCCTTGCGAACCTTGCTTGGACAACGGAGGAACCTCACATACATCGGGCCATCACAATATCATTCTTCGACACGGCGTCGGCAGCGACAATCAGAAAGGTGCAAGGGACAGTGGATATGAAATGAAAAACACAAGAAGCAAATCATAACGGCCTACTATCGAAAACATTTAACGACCTAACGAAGCATTTGTGGAGCATGCATGCAGCGCAACAGCAGCAGAAATGGAGTTTTAAGGGATGGATTGATGGATTGATTTCTGGGGATTGACCGGGAAAGTGTTTTGAGCGAAGCATGAGAGTGGATGGCGTGTCCAAGTTGGCGGCTAACGCTTTGACCATACTATACTGTAGCATTGATCAATGATAAGAGTGCTAGACTCGGGAGCATTTCGTCGACTCTCAAAGGTTGAGATGGAAGCGGGACATCCGGAGACCGGCTTCTTGGAAGAGATTTTCATTGTGAGTCTCGACAGCGCCATTCCTAAGGCCGACATCACGTTTGGATTTCTCGGTTTGGCTTCAATACCATCGACTATGATCGTCCAGATCGCGATATCGCTGGCTAGCCCGTGGGTAGCACTAGAGGCTCGCAAGTTTAAGGACGGGACCATTACAGGGACGATTGCTTTGCACCTACAGTACAAGCGACGACCTCAAAACGGTCAATCTCACCCTATTCCATTGGTTATCACGACATGGATATGAAACCTTCCATCCATGAAAGTTCCCTTGCTTCTAATTTGGGCACCACAGAAACTCAAGTACCGACGCTTCCGGAGGTAGGCCTAATCTCCTCGCGCGTGGTCAGTATCACCCCGGCGAACATGGTCAGATGCAGGTACACCACATCCAATACATCATCGACTGTGCCCATTGGGTATACTGCTTACACGTTGGAACAGTGGTAGAAGTGCCGGCGCTGGGCATGAGTGCAGCACATATGAGGCACGCGGAGAAGCTTGGTAGAACGGCACCTACACGTTCGTTGACTCACTCACGCACCAGACTGCGCTACACGTTCACAAGATGTTGCTCGATAATGTCGTAGCACTCCTACTTTCCTCCGTCCTAGCCTCTGCTCAACAGGACCTCGTCAGCACCCTCAACTCTCAGTCCGATCTCAAAACTATCGCCGCAGTCTTCCCCAAGCTCCCACGAGTCCAAGAATTCATCGATGGGGCATATAATGTCACTATGCTTCTGCCCACCGATTCCGCCATAGCTGCCGTGCCTGCGGACAGCTGGGAAGGCAAAATCTTCTCGGCAATGGACATTAATGGAATCGCAGCCATCCTGTCCCTCCACGTCATAAACGGTGTCTACAAATCCACCGACTTCCAAACCACTCCCAAGTTTGTCCACAGTCTCTTGACTGATGAGGAGCCAGTCAACGACAAAGCAGTCGCATACGTCACAGGAGGTCAAAACGTTGGTCTCGTGCTAAATGGTGAAGACACGCCTTTCTTCCCTTTCCAACTTCCTCGCATCCGCTTATTTTTCGTTTCCAGGCTCCACCGCCACCTGCCTCTCCGGCTACCTCTCCACCTCCAAAGTCGTCCAAGCCGACATCCAAGCTACCCACGGCATCACAATCCACAAAGTCGACTCCGTCCTCCGCCTCCCCCTCAACGTCTCCGCCACCGGAACAAACCTCGGTCTCACCGCCGCAGTCGCCGCCCTCAACTCCACAGGCCTCACCAACACCGCAGACACAACTCCCGACCTCACCATCTTCATCCCCAACAATGCGGCCTTCGCGGCCATCGAATCCACCATCGCGAAAGCTACGACGGACCAAGTGGCTGGCATCCTTGCTTACCACGCAAGTGCGGGAAAGGTTCTGTTTTCTCCTGATCTGAGTAATGCGACTGTCCCCAGTCTGGCGCCGGGGTTGAATTTGACGGTTACGGTGCTTCCGGATGGCACGGTTCTGGTTGATAATGCCAAGGTTGTGGTTCCGAATGTGATTTTGGAAAATGGCGTTGCGCATGTTATTGATTCGTGAGTGGCCCATATCTCTCTCCCCTGAGAAGTTTTTTTTTTTCTTTTTTTGGCTTTGATTGATGAATGAATGACTGATTATTATTTTTTGGGGGGGGTTTAGTGTCCTTATGCCGAAAGTTCCGGGTATCACGGCCGGTGGTTATGGTCCTCCTCCTACGTCAGGTGGGAATACGACGAATTCTACGAAACCTGTGGCGTATACTGGTGAGGCGGCGGGACTTTCGGCTCGTTTCTCTGCAACTGTCACTGCGGGTGTGGTGCTTCTCGCTATCATGTTGGCGCTATAATGAGGCGATGCTAGGCTATAGTATAAGTGAGTGGTGGATAGCATGTGATAATCTTACATGTGTAGCAGCTTGGTCCGTAACGTAATTGCATTGTTATGACTTTTGATCTCTTGATGCAACTGAACGCTGCCTTCGCTGCTATGAATTACGGGGAATAAGGTAGCAAGTAAGTTCTCGTCTCTTGCATTTCACAACTCTAGAAACTCTTATTAATCCCGAGCCTTCTAACTATACCCTTCTTCTCCTACCCCAATCCCCTATACCCTACAACACAAGTCTCGAACCTCAACCTCTCCCTCGCACGAAACACCGAATTCGAAACCCCCTAAAATCACAACGCGAGAAAAGAAACAACCCTCCGCGCCGCGAAAAGGAATAGTTTTATACTCCTACCTCTCCGTCTCGCTCCCATTCCCCACGAAGTGGAGCTCGTTTGCATAGTCCATAAATGTGTCGCCGGCGACGAAGCGTTCTTCTTTGCCCTTCTCGCCCCATTGTTGCGAGATTACTGTGCGTTCTATGACATAGTTTGGACCTGCGCTGGGATGGGTGTGTGGTGGTGCTTTGTAGCCGGGTGCGTAATCGAGAAGGATTGTGCGGGTTTCGTAGCCTGGGAGTTCGGGGATTGGGTAGCGGAGGAGGATGGTGCGGGTCGTTGGTGCTAAAGTCATTGTAGAGGTAGAGGGGTCTTTTCTCTCGTTGCGGTGTTTTTTGCGATTAGGGGTGAATTGTGGATCTGAGGTCTTGGAATTGAATGCCTGGACGTTTTCTGGGCTTTGATATGTTATGTGCTCTGCTTGCGGCTGCCGTCTCTTCGACTTTGCCTGGAACTTGGTAAGCTGTCTCTAAAGTGTAAGATACCTCCTAGCTGTGTTCAGAAAATGGCTTCTCCTACATGGTATATTAGTAGAAGATTCCACATTGCCTGCGCCCTGGGATGTTCTGAATAGGTTAGATGTCATCCGATTTAGCTAAGCATTTCTAAGCGCGATCAAGAAGGATTGGTGCTGACAAGCTACAGTAAAATAAGCTGGGGATCTTTGCAAGCTTTGTCTGGAGTAGTCTGCAATCCCAATCTGCAATAAGTCGAGAACAAAGTAAGGGCACGATGTTGAAGTATTCCAAAAGCAATGCGGGGACATCAGACGCGAGCACTCTCTTTCTATTGCCTACCGAAGCCTGCACGCTAGCGGCTGCTTTGATTCATTCACTCCGGGACGTGCCGCACTTTTTCTAGAGCACGGACGAAGACTTCTAGAGAAACATTTTCAATCTTCATCTCACTTGATTAGGCTTATTACGACATCTCCAAGCTTCCGAAATTGGACTATGAAGAGACACACTATGTTGCAAGCACTCGCAACTCCTCCATCCTCAAGGCAGACCAGCGACTGGTCCAGCCATCGCGCGGATGTCCAGACGGATGAGGTCGCATGGAGTCCGACTCCTTCACCTCTCTACTACTAGTCTGCTCAGAATAGCTCGTGCCTCTGCCGAAGATTCGCCCAGCAGGTCAAATCACTTGACGCTGTCGATCCTCCACCATTTCCCCAACTCCCCTCAATCTCCCCGCTTCGGGGTAGTTCTAGCCCTCGAGACGGTCGAATGCCTGCATTTACCGCTGTATACCCTCTGCTCATCCCAGATCTCCCTCTCGCTTGACCAGGTTTCAACTATGGCAAAACGTGTTGGCCACGCTGCCTCGAGTGAGAGGGGTGACGGGACTTTCAAGACCATCGCCTCGAGGCATTCTTGGCGATCATGCAATACATCTAATTCTCTTCATATTTACCAAAAACTCCCTCTAGCATGACATGACCGAGATTTGACATCGGACTCTCTTGCTTTTAGCTTCAACGCTTCGCAGAGAGGCCCTTTCGCCAACACTGCAGAGCTGAGCCAATCCCTCACGGTCGTCATGTCTCGCCACTCCAGCATATCAGTCGAAAATCAAGCAAAAGCCAAGCACCAGGAGCAATGGATCGAACTTGCTCGGCAACAGAATGTCGACGTGGACGGAATAGAGCCATATGCACCCAACTCCGAGGCAGAGAAACGACTACTCCGAAAGCTAGACATGCGAATAATTGTGAGATGTTCTCGTTGCATTGATTCGTTCGCGAAAGCCGCCATGAAAATACTGAACATCACATTAGCCATGCTGCTGGTGCTTATACTTACTCGGCTATCTTGATCGCGCAAACATTGGGTACCATCGAGTCGAGTCGAATGTACAGGACCCGCAAATGCGCTGACGGATATTTCCAGCAACGCGAAGACCGGCGGTCTCGAAAAAGACTTCAACCTCAGTTCGACGCAATATTCGGTCGTGTTGCTGGTCTTCTTCGTCAGCTATGTCATCTTCGAAATCCCTTCGAATCTCATCCTCACACGAGTACGGCCATCACTTTACCTTCCAGCGCTAGCCGTGGGGTGGGGAGGGATCGCGGCATCGATGGCGGGTTGCAATAATTGGCATCAGCTCGCAGGTGTGCGCTTCGCTCTCGGGGTGATCGAGTGTTGACAAAGAGGCTTAGTACACCTCAAAGAGCATGTGGAAATGAGCTAATCTCCGATAGACAAAGAGGTCTAGAGATAAATAGAGCTCGTGTCTCCTAGGTAGAATAGACAAGACAAGTAACATTATACAGTGGTACCTGTTTCAACAGGTTATGAGCCTGTTTCAACATCGAGGCAGGATTTGCGCCGGGAATCGCTTTCTACCTCTCGTGCTGGTACAAACGCTACGAGCTCGCCCGCCGGTTTTCGTGGTATTACACTGCGGTTGCGTGTGCTGGGATTGTGTCGGGTCTACTTGCTGGCCTCATCACCAAAAACCTCGACGGAGCACGCGGGATTGCTGGCTGGAGATGGTTGTTCATCATTGAGGGGGTTGGACTTGAAGAGTGTGTGTGTAGGCTATTACGTGCATAATGCCTGAGGCTGCAACTGTGCACACTTTATCTTTGGGCTTTCTGTAGTTAGCCCTTCTTCTGAATACAACATTAGTTACATTAAGTAGTTATAAGCCCCCTGCGTTTCTAACGCATTCTATACGTATTCTAATAGTTAATCCGACTACTACGTAGCTAGCGCCTATTACTAAAAATTACGCCGATACTAATACTATCGCCGCCGCCGCCCTCGAGTACTCTAGTAGGTACTAGTCCGACTCGAGTCGGTTACTATTAGTATTAGCTGTCCGCTATACTAGTTCCTAATATTAGTATTAGCTATCTGCTATACTAAAATATAGGCGCGCCTATCGGCCGCCCCTCGAGATAAGTCTATAGTCTCTATCTATACCGTCGCCTTCGCTATCCGCATTCGTAATAGCACTATTAACTAGTGCTATAGGCGCCTATATAAGCAATATTCCTAAGCTTAAGAATAAGGAGAATTACCTATCTTAGTCGTACGCCGCTAAAGGCGCCTTTAAAGATATATTAGTCTAGCGCTATATATAGGGTACTCGCTAGCGACCCCTTTCTAAGGCCTCTAGTAAGTCTTCTAAAGAGTTTAAAGACCGCTAAGATAAATAGGACTCTAAAGATTAAACGGTACGTACCTAGATCTTTGCTAATTATATTAGTAACATTTAATAATTACTACTTAGTCTATCTATATCCTAGGAAGTATAGGACTTCCTTAAGAAGAAATACACTAGTAAAGGTAGGTCTACTAAATTTATACTCTACTAGGAATATATTACCCTTCGCTACGATAGTAAGGACGTTAAGAAGTTCTATAATAAGTATAAGAAGAAGCTCGGTGCCTTAAAGGATACTAAATTAGCTATTAGCTAATACTAGGCTGTCTATATGTTTATTATATAAATCGCACCGTTCTACGAAGCTTTCGTATAGATACGCCGTAAGCAAATGCGCGCCTTAGAATATACTATTAATAATAGTATCCTTAACAACATTATTAGCGCGTTGCTTAATAAGAATGTAGCTTAACTAAACTAGGCCTAATACAATAGCTTCTTCGGTCTTTAACGCTAACTATAATAGCAAGGTAGTAATAGTAACGGTCGAGGTAACTCGAACCGTAGCGGTCGTAGTAGCCGCGGAAACAGCAATAGTTGTAGTCGTAGTAGAAACAACTAGAATAGTTAAAATCGCGAGAAGTGCTTATACTATTAAGGCACTTACCCTTCTAACTGCTACTATACTAAATACCCTTATCTAAAGGAGGAAGACCGACTACGTCGTAAATAGTAGAAGGCTAAGAAGAAGAGGGTATAGCAGCAGCAGCGTAGACTAACTGCTTAGTAATAGTAGCAGCCGCTATCTAGCTAAAATAGTGCTTAGGGGCTGTATGCGGCTAATGCTACCCCGGGGGTGTTATTAGACCTAAGCTACAATTACGCCTTTATAGCTATAGTTACTATAAGCGACCTAGTGTCTACGGCTCTTACGGCTAGCACTCGTACTACTAATTGGGTTGTCGACTTAGGTACTAGTATATATATAGTTAATAACCCTTTATTGCTTATTAAATACGAAGGCTATTATATTCCTATTCGGTTTAGTAGCAACACGAAGCACGCTACGATAGTTAGTATAGCTTAGACTAAGGTTATTAATAAGCGTAGTATTAGCAATATAAAGCTGTCTAATACACTATATGTTCTAGGTCTAGCAGCTAACCTCCTATCTACTAAGAAGCTTGCCGATAAGGGCTATTTCTATCGGAATAATAGGCGTATACTGTTTACTATTGTTAAAGGCTCGGAAGTTACTATTGCTTAGACATACCGCAAGAATAGTCTCCCCTATCTGCATATACTAACCTCTAGTCCGGATAGCTAGGTTATTACGCTTCTATCGAAGAAGGGGGTACTAATAGGTACGATAGAAGAGTAGCATCTACGATATAGCTATATCTATTACCGCAAGCTGTTACGAATAGAAGCTAAGGGTTAGATTATTATTACTAGCACTAGCAATAAGAACGACTTCCGCAACTGCATTGCCTATCGAATAGCTATATTATATAAGGAATACAATCGGCTACTACGCGTACGACTATCTACGATCTATTACATTATCTATATAGATATAGTTACTATTACCAATCCTAGTCTGTTATAGGAGCGCTATTTTATACTGTTTATATGCGCTAAGTTAGGCTATCGACACGAATATGCTAGCTTACTAAAGTTAGGGGCTGTAGTAGCAATTAAGGACTACCGTATATACGTCCGTATACAAACTAGCTATTCGATCCTAATCTACCGCCTCGATAGAGGGGGTAAATACGGCGGAAATCAGCTATTAAGCTAGGCTCGTAATTAGGGCATTGTACTATAGGTTACAGCTCCTTATTCTTCGACTTAGAATAGCCTAGCTAAGGTTAGCAATTATATCGTATATACGACCGCTCGGAAGATAATGCTTTATACTAATTTGCTAAAGGCCCTATAGCTGTATATAGTTACTACTGCTATATAGGTCCTTAATATTACTCCTAGAACCTTAGAAGGTCTTAGCCCCTATGCTATTATAGCTAGGGAGCTTAATTAGTCTCGAAAGCAGCTACGCCTTTAATATCTTCGGGCCTATAGCTATACTGCTATTATATATAATTACGGAGTTGCTCGTAGAAAGAAGATAGATAGCAGAGGCCTTGTTAGTAAGCTAGTTAGCTATACTAAGGACTTAGTAGACTTAGGAAAATATATAATTTATCTTCCTAACTAGTATAAGGTTATTCTATTAAAGGATGTCTAGTTCATTAAGACAGCTAGCGAGCTGTTGCTTCTAGAGGGCATAAACCTATACGCTAATCCTAATAACCTAGCTAAGAACGAGTTTGTTACACTCGAGTCTATTATACCGGCTCTATTTAATTCTATAAGTAACGAGGCACCGTCGCTATAGGAAGCCGCTAGTATAGTCTAGCAGCTTCTAGCCTAGTAAGAAGAGCCTCTAGACGAGCCTGCTTAGGATATAGAGGTAACTAATAAGGTCGCAGCTCGCTAGTCCGTTACTACTCGACGATAACCTACTAGCTATTCAACCGCCTTTAAGTAATAAAGATAGCTTTTAGTTAGCCGAGGAAGAACTAGTGTACGATCCTTACGCTAAGAAGAGCGAGCTAGGCTAGTTGCCTAAGTTTAAGCGACCTGCTAAGGCTATTAGTAATCGTTCTACGCGCAAGACCCGGAGCAACAAGTTAGCTCGTAACCTCTTATATAGGTACCTAGCTAATGCCGGTGTTTAACGTAAGGCGCGCCGCTAACTAGCTAACATGCCGATAGTCTATATAAAGGGCTTTATAGCCTCCTGCTATATTGCCGAACAGTCTAATAAGCCTAAAGAGACTATTCCTATTCTAAAGAGCTTTAAGGACGCTAAGGAATTACTATACTAGCTATAGTAGAAGGAAGCCTATAAGGCTAAGTACAAGTCACTTATAGACAACATTACCTAGATCTATATTTCTAAGCTAGAGGTTCTAAATAGCCGTAAGGTAGTCCGTAGCAGATAGGTATTTACTATCAAGCGCAATACTAATAGCGAGGTTAGCCGCTTTAAGGCACGCTAGGTTATTAAGGGCTTTACTTAGGTTAAGGGTAAGGACTATAATAATACCTATACTACCGTTGCTAAGCTATCTACTCTTCGGGCCTTATTTAGTCTTATTGCCTATTATAATTTAGAGGCTTAGTAGTTTAATATTCTTACTGCCTTCTTAAACGCTATAATTAGCGACAACTACAAGATCTACGTTAAGCAGCTATACGGCTTTAAGGATCGTAGTAGAGGCAAGGGCATAGTTTACCTGCTAAAGAAGGCCCTATATAGACTTAAGCAATCGCCTATACTATAGTATAAAGAGCTCCGCAAGTACCTAAAGAGCCTAAACTTCATCCCTATAATAAGTAATATGTGTGTGTTTAAACACACTATTAGTAACTCTATTATCGTTATCTACGTAGATAATATAATTATTATTATATATAGTCTGTTAGCTCTATAGGCAGTCGCTTAGTTGCTTAAGGATCGATTTAATATACGCGAGCTTAGTAATCTTTACTACTATCTCGGTATACGTATTATTCGCAACCGTAAGGACCGTACTATTTATATTATATTATTTTTTTTTATATAGGACGCCTATTTAAACCGGCTTAGTAAGAAGTACGGTATATAGGGCCGTATAGCGCCTGCTACTCTAATAGCACTACGCTATATTAAGACTAGCATTTAGCGTGCACCTAATAGCTATATAGCTAGTGCTGCTTTTAAGGCTAAGTACTAAGAAGGCATTAGAGAGGCTCTATAGCCTACGATAATCACTCGACTAGATATATGCTATACTGCTAGCCTATTGTCGCGATTTATTGCCAATCCGACTAAAGAATACTATTACGCTTTGCTATAGCTAATTAAGTACCTAGTCGGCACTTCTAGCCGTAGCATATGCTTTCGAGGTACGTATAACTATAAGCTAAACTTTGCTAGTTACTGTAACGCCTTATAGGCTAATAATCTAGTTACTCGCCGCTCTACTAGTAGCTTCTACTTTATACTAGTAGGTAGACCGCTTCTATATAAGTCCGGCCGACAGGCCTTAGTTACTTTGTTATCTACTAAAGCTAAGTATGTTTAGCTTACTACTACCGCTAAGGAAGCCGTGCCCTTAATGCGTATATTAGAGGAAATAGGTTATAAGGGCTCTATTAAGCCTGTTACCCTATATAAGGATAATTAGTTAGCAATTGCTATTACTAATACTAAGTCTATAACTAATAGCTATACTAAGTATATAGATACTAGGGTACACTATATTCGAGAGAAGATTGCTAATAGTACGGTTGCTATTATATAGATTAGCACTTACGATAGGTTACTAATAGCTTTACTAAGCTACTTAATAAGCTTAAGCATAGTCTCTTTATTTAGTAGTTAAACTTAGTGGATTGTAAGGCTGCTATTAAGAGCGCCGCTTAGCCTACTGCTAAGTACTAAATAGATAGAAGATATAGGTTTATTGTCTAGTTTAACTGCTTGTATTTGTTTAATTGCTCTATTATAATAGCCTGAAAGTAGTCTAGTTGTTTCTATACCTAATACCCCTTTATTTGCTTCGCTAGTTTGTTTGTTTAGCTGTATGCACGCGATAAGGGGGTAACTTGAAGAGTGTGTATATAGGCTATTACGTGCATAATGCCTGAGGCTGCAACTGTGCACACTTCATCTTTAGGCTTTCTGCAGTTAGCCCTTCTTCTGAATATAACATCAGTTACATCAAGTGTTGGATCGTATGCTGTTGGCACCGTTGTGTGGTTCTTCATGGCAGACTATCCTTCGACCACTCGCTGGCTGACACCAGAGGAACGAATGTTGGCTGCGCAGCGCATGGCTTATGATGGTATCGGCTCTACACAAGGTACAGAGGAGCAAGTCAAAGAGTGGACTGCTTTCAAGATGACGATTTCCGACTGGAAAGTCTGGGCTCTCGCTCTGATGTATGCTCTCCTCACCGGTTCGCAAACAATGCAGTACTTCATCCCGACTCTTGTTGGCGTATTCGGTTGGAAGGGCTGGCAGGGACAGTGTAGGCTTGGGCCTCTTTCTATCAAGAGTACATGCATTGCTGACAGAACTCAGATCACTCCATTCCGCCATACGCACTCGCTCTAGTCTGTACACTCGCCTTCCCGTGGATCTCAGACCACTACAAGAACAAGCCCCTATTCATCATGACCTTCGCCGGCTTCGACACCATCATGTTCATAATCCTCGCAGCGACAAGAAACCACATCGTGCGCTGTAAGTCACCCGCAGTGCATCGCGCCAAATGCAAACATACATATTGACACCCGCGCAGATGTCTTCACAGTCTTCGCATTCGGCCCATTGTTTGGCTTAGTGCCATTGGTTCTTATGTGGGTAGCGAACGTGATCGACAGTCCAGCCGAGAAGCGAGCAGTGGCTATAGCGCTGGTGAACGCTGTTGGAAACTGCTCGTCGATCTATGGAGTCTTCTTATGGCCGAAGAGCGATGCGCCTCAATATGTGGCAGGCTTCAGCGCGACGACAATCTTCGTCGCTGGCATCGCTGCATTGGCGCCCATCGTGGCTTGGAGATTCAATAAGGAGCAAGGCACTGGCCCGCTGACAAGGCTGGGCATTGAGAATGCAATGCCTTGGGGGAGGAAAGCGGGCAAGGAAGTACAAATTGCTACAGCAGATGTCTGAGGCTGTGGTTGTGATGCTTGCTTGCTACTGGCGAGCTAAAGTGTGCTTGCTGCTACGAGTGAAATCACAATCTTACCGCCGTCCTGAGAAGCGACCTCCATCAATATCTTCCTGCGCCATGTCGTTGGAGATACGTTTAGGTGACTTTTTCTTCGGCACGCTTTCCTCGCCACCTCCACGCTTCCGCTTTGGCGACTTGCTTGGTGTTCGACTGTCAGGACGGCTCTGCTTTGGTGACTTGCCACCAGCTTCGGAGCCCCTTTGCTTCCCCTTTGAAGACGACGATCCGGCGCCTACTTGTGCCTGGCCTTGTTGGTCATGTTTTCTTTTCAGCCTCCTCTGCACGATCCTATCCACACCAAGACTCGATCCAGGAACGTCATCACGATCATCTTGTGTCGATGGTGGCGCAGGGAACTCATCCATGTCATCCGGAAACTTCGAAAGTCCCGTCAGGTACCCCTTGAACATGTCTTCCCTCAGCGATGGCAATACGTTACGTTCGTCTTGCCATTTCGGGTCATCCTCACGGGCCCTCCGAAGTCCATTTGCATGGTCAATCTTCTTGGATTCGTCAGTGCGTTTCTGAATATATTCCAGGAGTTTGGAAAACGGCGGTCGAAATCTCTGCTCATGGCTCAAACATATGAGAATGAGATCTCTGAGGTTAGAAGAGTAGTGGTTTTCGGCAGGCTTTCGAAATGTGGGCCTGTCCAAAGTGTTTTCGTCGCCGTCATTTTTGACGCCTTCGGAAGTCTCCAGCGGGTCGTAGGAAAGTCTGTGGTCGCCATCTTCGAGTTCGAGAAGACTCCACATTATAATGCCTACGCCTGCTCGAACCTTTAGTATCTTGCAGGCTTGTTACGTCTGTCATTGGAAACCACATACCCCAGACATTAGTCTTCGCGTCCATTCGGCGACGGGGCATGCGCTCCTCGCCGGGATACGGCACCTTTGTCTGCTCTCTCGGTTTGCAAAACGGCGTGCCGCAGACTGGATAATCGTTTGTGCTTCGGTTGTCATCGCGCGGCACGATCTTGGCAAGACCATAATCGCCAGTCTTGGGAACAGGATAGCCCTTGTACTGCTCATCGTCTGGTAGTCCAAGAAAGATGTTCCGTGGCTTGTAATCAAGATGCAGAATGGTTTCCCATTTGTCGTCGGGAGCCGGCTGCTCCATCTCCTGGCCTGCTCTTGCTAGACATTCGAAGGTATGCCAAAGAAACCTATCAACAGGATATCAGCATTTGTCTCGCGCCCGAATCAAGTCTTCGTAGCGAAGAGTCGCTCCTTACGGCTCCGGCAAGAATATCCGCTCAAGCTCATCACGAGTCTTGTGAAACTCTGCAGCAATCTTGACAGGATCCTTGCTTTTCATCTTTTCTGTGTAATCTGCCAATTCCTTAACGTAAACCCCCAATGCCTTCTTATACGCAGATTTTGTCGTCGTATTTTCATCAGGCTTCACGGGTTCCGGAAAGTAGTTGCGCTTGGCCAGGTCCGCATCGCGAAGCTCCTTGTACCAGCAAGTCCATTGACCGAGGTCGCCATGAGGACAGAACTCCAAGTATAGTCTGTACATCAGTCGGTCCTCGAACATGTGCCAGTTCCTCAGGTTAACAATGTTTGTACTACCCTTGCGACCCCGTAGCGCTGCCATCGCAGCTATCTCAGAAGGCACAGTTTTCTCCTCATCGTCGGGATCGAGCGGGTCATACCAGAAGTGATTGAGCTTCTTGCTCCACTGAATCGATGTGAGGTAGCTGTCTTTGATCACGCACCGCTAGATCCTGTTAGAATTCGAGGTAGGTATTTCCAGGTCTCATACGTACGTCGAGTATGCTCTGATCCATACCCTGTTTAATCCACAAGAGAGGTAGGTTTCCAATAGCTCCTTTCTTTGCGAAGCTCCAGCCACCTACCCAAGATTTGCCCATGCGATATTCTTCTCTCAACCTTGCTTGTCGGCTTGCACTATCCTCGCAGGACTGGAGAAGCTGCTGAAGCTTGGCAAGCTTCCCATTCTCACCTTCCCATGGCTGTCTCAACTGTGTCCATTCCTCATTGGTCGCTTTCACGAACTCCTGGATCTTGGGATCGATCCTACGCACCAGTCTTCCCAGTACTCTAGATACTGATTGATCCTCGGTCCGTGTTGTGTTCAGCAGTGCATTTCCGGCAGCTATATGTTCTCTCAAGGTTTCAAGTTGGACCTTCCTCTTGCCATCGATTCCAACTCCAGGTTCAGTATTGTCAAGCTCTTCCGCGCCGCTGATTTCATCCAGATAGTACCCGGCAGTCTCATTGATGACACCTTCGATGATGGGCACGTCTTTGAGCGATTCGAGGTATTTGCTAATTAGTGGCCCCAGCTTTTTCCGGGTGGCGATTGGTATCGCTTCATACGTGCTTCGCGATGTCGTTTCCTCCGAAAGATCATACGCATAGGCTCGCAATGATTTCCAGTCTTCGAAAGCCTGGTCGGACATGGTGGGTTTGATGTGATGTAGCTATTATGACACGCATAGTTGTTGGCGGCGCTACGATAGCTAACTATAGATGTTCAGCTGATTTCATTGTAGGGCTACCTATACCAAGATAATAAGACTGCCGGATCTGGTCGAGGTGACAATGGTTCAAAGCAGTCCTTAGGGTATCAAAGGGCTCGGCTTCGTCTCTACGCACCCCTTTGTCTACTTGCTCTTATGATTACTCTTGAGAGTGCGCTTCTGCATGGCGAATCTGCGAAATCGACGCAGCCTTCGTCGCCTGATTCGCAGCCATCGTGGTCTACTGAGCCTACTTCGCGGAAATCTTCGCCGCAGGCCATACTGCGTCACGTACGATTGACATGCAGCCACATGGGGCTATCTGTGCCGTGTATGGGGTTCGGTAATGAGCAATAGAGGTCTCTAGACTCCGGACGCCCCTAGCAGTAGTTCTCCGATGCGTGATTCTGATTGTGGTGCGGGTTGATACGCGTCGCTGGTGGGTGAACAAAGAACGAGGCTGATGCCAAGACTTGCCGCTTACGTACTCGGGTCTCTGGGCTCTCTGTTGCTTGGAGGATTCGGAATGGCATGCTGAGAGAGGACGCCTCCTTCCAAAAAATCCTTCGAAAAGGTACCTAAGATGCGCACGCACCCTGTGGAGCATGTGATAGTCGCGTTGGCATTGTCCTGATCCAACGCCGAACGGTAAACGAAGCATACGCTCCAGTCAAGAGATTGGGATAGAGATTCCCAAGAAGACCAGCTTCGGTATTCTAGCCCCGATCAAGACCCCAATCCAATGTTGTGAATCGTGCTAAGGATGCAACTAATCATCGGATTGACAACTATATAACTATACAAAGAAGGATTAGGAGCCTGCTATAGAAACTGCAGTTAATATACCTATTGTATGTCCTTCCTCTTAGCACAAGTTAGCTAATAGTATTAGCTAACTAGTATATTACCTAACTGAACTACAATACTCCCCCTTAGGTAGAGATAATATGCTATTTAGATTAGACACTCTAAATCTAGGCTTAGAGCTTTACTTTATCTTCTAACTGTCTTTAGATGTTAGACTATATCTGCTTTATATATAGCTTTATATGCTATGCTACTTGTACGTGCTTGTATTATATTGTTTGCCGATTAGTTTGCTTTAGAGTAATGTCCTTAGTCGTAATTGTAGGGTTAGCAGGCGCCTATAAGAGACACTTAAACTTAACTAGACAACTTGAACTTTTACAATCTACTCTTTAGTAATCCCCTAAGTACTAGCAGCCTCTACTAGAATTCAAATTCTTACTAAAACTTTTCAAGTCTAATAGCTAGCCGAGACTTTATTATAGCGATAATTCTTTACCCTAGCCTAGGGAGTATAGCGAGTAGTATAGGTAGTAGTAGTAGCGGTAGCGGTAGTAATAATCTAAATAAGAATCGGTACCCCTCGCGTTATAACAAGCTCTAGCTTATAGAGACTAGTAAGTATTGCTGTTAGAGTTTTCCTTTTCTAATAATTTGCTAACTAGGCGCAGTCCTTAAGGAAGTTTAGTTAACTATCGCGATTCTCTAGAGAATTATCTAGTGCTTAACTAATATTGGTCCGGAGTAGACTCCGCCTTAGCTACGCAACGTTGATATTAGGCATTTTATTACGAGCTAGGATAATGCTTAGCTGTTTCTAAGTATGCCTCCGCGTCTGCGTAAGGCGGCTAAGGCATTCAATTTAGGCTCAAAATCGAATATTAACTACTTGCCTACCGCGCTTGTATATGCGGCTGCTACTAGACGCGTGTATACTAGTAACAGCTAGTACGGTCCTTATAAGCAGTTAAAGGGTCCGTACTTAGAGTATATAACTCTAAGTTATCGAATTAACGGTTAGGATATCGCTTTCCTAAAGGGCGCTTACACTAACTATACTAGCCTAAATTATTATAGTTAATGCGAGTTCTCTAGTAAGTTGAATCTAGTCTTGTGTATTTTTTTAAAGCAAAAACACTAATTCTTTTATTAGGTTACGTCTCTCGGCTACGCTCTAATACGAATCGTTAGACGCCTATAGCGCCTCTGCCGCCTCGCAATCCGGGGAGCAGAGCAGGCACTAATTAGCGTCGTCTATACGTACTAGTCCCGTCTAGCATCGATTAGAGTACTCCTTAGGGCGCCTAGGCAGTAGCAAATTTGCTACTATAGTAGGCAAATGCTTATGCCTAGGCTACTACTTAGGGACGTAGTCGTAGGCTAGGTTCTAGGTTGTCTACTAGTCCTAGCTCGACTCGCGATTCTAGTAGTCCTTAGAGGGGTTTCTCTAATTACGAAGACAGTAATGCTAAGATAGGTAGCTAATTAGGGAGATTCGGTTTTTTTTTTTTTAGTAAGCAGAGAGTTGTAATGTATGTTTTCGATTTTGAAATAGGCTAGGCAGTCTAGATTAGTAAAAGCCTTGCAGCATTAGAGAGTTTCTAACTCTTAAGGGCTAAGGTATTTCTTCCTGCTTAGTCTTAATATTGTTATAAAAGAAATTTTGCAGCTTAGACTGTATAGTACAGCTAGGCTGTTTCTAGAAATTAGAATGAAATTCAATAAGTGTATAAAGTTTGTTTTTAATCCTACAAATAAGATTTTTTTTTTAAGGAGTGACTTAGGAGTTTGTCCTAGAGACGCTGTGTTATTAGAGAATTTTGTTTAGAGATTTGGGCTTAGTAAAACAGTCCGCTAGCTGCTTGTTAGTAGTGACGAATTCGACACTAGTCTTTCCCTAGGCATACTGTTCTCTATAGTAGTAGTTCCTAAGGGAAACGTGCCTTAACCTCTTGGAATTTGTATAGTCCTTAATAAGGGAAATAGCTAACTAGTTGTCTACCTAGATATAAATCCTGTTAACTTCTTCCCTAGTAAGTGGTTAAAGCTTAGTTATCAAATTTCGGAGCTAGCAGATTTCTCTATATACTTCTGTTAGAGCAATATACTCTACTTTAGTGCTAGAGAGCACGACTTCCTTCTAGAGCTGTAATCTCTATATAATTAGAGTGTTGTTAAGAAGTATAAGGGCGCCTAATATTGATCTTGATAATAAAGGGTTACTAGCAAAGTCTACGTTAGAGTATGCCTAAAATTCCAAAGTTTTCTTCTTTCTAAAGACAAGTCCTTTGTTAACTGTGCTAGCAATGTACCTCTAGAGATATTTAGCAGCTATAACATACTTAGGTCCGGGATTCTAAAGGAACCTAGCAAGGTAGTTAACGGCATAGCTAATGTCTAGTCTAGTCTAGTTAGCTAGAAACTGCATTTCACTAATTATAGTGTTAAATAGCTAGTAGTCCTAACGGTTATAGGGGGTTGTAAGAGGCTCGTAAAGCTTCTTAAGTAGATGCTTTATTAGCTTGCACTAGTCCAAGCTATACTTCTAAAGCTTCTCTTTAGTATAGTGTGTCTAGGAGATAGTAAGGTTTCCCTCCTTGTCTTCCTTTAGATAAAGGCCTAGAAATAGGTTAGACGTAACAATCTTAATTGTGTACTTCTTGCGAAGACCTTCAATTAGAGTATCGATCTTTGCCTTAGAGGTTCTAAAGATTTAGAAGTTATCTATATAAAGGAGGACAAGAATACTATTACCTTACTATAGGCAACAGTTACTCTTTGTCCTGCTTAGGCTAAGTTAACGAAGAGTATCTAAAGCATTATAGTACTAGAGATTAGCAGCCTACTTAAGGCTATACAATCCTTTTCTAATACGGATAATCTACTTTAGAGGGTGCTTCTTAAACAGGTACGCGCCTTCTAGGGGTCTAATGAAAATCTCTTTGTCTAGAGGGGGATTTAAGAAAGCAGTCTCGATATTAACCTATCTTCGCTTCTAGTTTTTGTTTACTAAAAGCCTAAGGATAAGTCTAGTAGTAGCTGCTCTTAGTATAGGAGTATAGGTGTTGATATAGTTAAGACCTTGCTTCTATATAAAGCCTCTAGCTGTCTATCTTGCCTTGTATTTGTTAATAGAGCCGTCTAGTAGGTATTTGATCTTAAAAACCCATTTTCCTATTAGAGGTGTTCTGCCTTTTAGTAGGGATTCGGCTAGAATCTACTCGATTACACTAGACTTTTTAAGAGACCTTATCTCTTTTATAACGGCTTTTCTCTATTTATCCTAGTTAGGCCTTTTTAGGGCTTTAGCTAGGGTTGTTAGGTTAGCTAGCTTCTAAGTATCTTTTATAGTAGCAGCTATAGCAATCTTAGTAATCTTGCTATAGTTATGCTTAGCTACGGCTCTACTAGACCTAAGTCGTACTTCGGCTTAAGGAGGGTTTAGCTAAGGTGGGTTAGGAGCCCTCTTTCTCTTGCTAGTAGTCTTAGGGACTTAGAAGGGAGTGATTAGGGTGTCTTCTAGTTTAGTAGTATCTATTTCTTAAGTGTACTGATTTTTCTTAGGAGTAGCTTCCTACTAGGCAGCTAGTAGTTCTAGTTAGTGATTTTAGAGTATTAGCTTATTAGCTATAGGTATTAGCTGAGGTAGTGTTCCTTACTTAAGTGTACCTTGCTCCCCCTAAGCTATAAGGGAGTCTTCCTAATCTTCCTAATTATAAGCCTACTAAGGCTAAGGGATGCTACCTCTAAATAGCTCCCCCTAAGGTTCTAAAGAGTACTAAGGTGTTTGGTTATTACTAGGGAATAGTGCTAGGATTCCTGACTCAAATGAAAGGTTAGACTAGGTTTTAAGTACCTAAATAGTCTCCTAAGGGACAGCTAGTCTCAAATACTCCCCCTAAGCTTAAAGGGTACTTAGAAGCTTAGTAAAATTGTCTTTATAGACAAAGTCCTCGTTGAAGGTAACGTATAGAGAGAATCTGATATTATGCTACTATACGCTATCCTTCTAGTGCGGGTTCTAAAGTAGATAGTTTGTTAACGAATTTTCTTAGAATCTAATAAACTAGTAAACGAAAGCTCTTAGTGCAAATTTCTAGGAGTTAAGTCGTTTAACTCCGGATTCGAGGTATTTAAATGCCTTATAGCCAAATCGTCTCGTCTTAGACAGGTTAATGTCTATACTGCTAATATTCAAGTCTAATTCGAAAGCCTTAAGTAGAACTTCCTTAGTTCTTAAGTTTACTAGTCTATTAGTTAGGTAAATCGAATATATTACTGTAAAGTACTAGTAGTATATTAGTAGGCTAGAGTCAATTATTATTGCTCTTACCTTAAGCAGAATCGTCTTGTTTAACGACTCTGTAATGCTATTCTACTCCGGTATATATAGTGTAGACACATCCTATCTAATGCTAACTTCCTCTATAAAATGTACTAGATCGTTGTTAGTAAACTCTCCCCCGCTATTACTAAAGATAATCTTAGGGATTTTGTTATATTGCCTCTTAATTCTAGTTATCTAGTTAGTTAGCTTATTACTACTTGTTACCTTGTCTTTGTTTCGAAGTAATAGACCCTACCTAAGCCTAGTTTTAGCATTAGTTAGGATTATAATGTACCTGTTTCTAAATAGATTAAATGGTTGTACGCTAACAAGGTCAATATAGACTTCGTTAAGGGCTTTTTCTAGTCTAGTTCTGTATTCTCTTAATACAACTCTTTAAGCTCTCGAGAGCTTATAAATCTTATAGTGCTCGAGTTCAGATATATCAACTTCTTCTAGGCCTAGAATAGCTTCCTTAGTAGCTGTTAGGATCTTGTTACCGACGTAGCTAAGTCTCTAATGCTATCTTAATATATCCGCTCGTAGTCTAGCGATAGCTAGGGCTAATAGCTGTCCTTTCTAACTCGATTCTAAGTTTAGTTTTAAAGCTGAGCCTAGCATTTTGAC